GAAACGAGTTCATAGAAATTCCCACAAACAATTTAGAGGAGAAAGGAAATACTATCATCCCAACCAGAAATTCCAACTGAAAGAGGGGAGAGAGAAACAAGGTGTCTCCACTTTCGCAACTGGATTTATCAAAAGTTTCTTAAGCCCATCCAGGATAGTCTTATTCATGTGGCAACACATGTTCCAAAAATGTACCTTCAGCTTTGGAAGGTTGAGCTTGGAAAGAGATGAGTGCCTTGGGATTCTTAGATCATTTTCTTGGTCAATTTCTCTTCCACAACTTAAAAACCGTCATGAAATAGTAGACTTTTGCTTGAAGAAGGCATGCCTAATTTCTGCACAGCATCAGGTTCCTCCAAATTGTTCAATGAAGAAATGATACCCGTGCCCTTTGTAGTTATTGATGAAGCAGCTCAACTCAAAGAGTGCGAGTCAACCATACCACTGCAACTTCCAGGTGTAAGACATGCTATTCTTATTGGTGATGAGAGACAACTTCCTGCAATGGTAAAGAGCAAGGTACTAGAGTTTTGTCATGATATCTTGTTAGAGGTTATGGTGAAATTTTTGTGGTTATTCACTTGACAACTTAAGATCTGGAATTCAAGTAGTCTGAATTTGATCCTTGATATCCCATTCTCTTTATTAAAATTTAAGTCCTAGTACAAGGTATGCTAGGTGGGGTTTTGCCCATTCTTCAAACTCAATGAGCTATTATAGGGTAGGGTCTGCTAGATATCATCGTAAAACTATTCATGAATCTCCATTAAATAGCTTCAGCTTTTGAATTGATTAGTTTTTGACATTTGTGTTTTTGTGTTGATGGAGGTCATGAAAGATCACTTTCTAATTAATATGTATGTATATGACATTCAAATTTCAGATCTCTGATGAAGCTGGATTTGGAAGAAGCATGTTTGAGAGGCTGGTATCGTTAGGATACGAGAAGCATCCCCTTAAAGTCCAGTTTAGAATGCATCCAGCTATAAGCTTGTTCCCCAACAGGGAATTCTATGAAGGGCTACTTGTGGATGGCATGAATGTCAAAGTCTCAAGCTATAGAAAATGTTTCCTTGAAGGAAGAATGTATGGCTCCTATTCTTTCATAAACATAGCCAAGGGCGAAGAGCAATCTGGTCTTGGACACAGCTTGAAGAACATGGCAGAAATTGCTGCTATATCAGAGATTATTAATGCCTTCAAAAAGGTTCCTTTCTTGCTAATGAACATTTTTGTTTGCGTGTGTCTCTAAGTTTACTCTATCTATTGACACTTAACAATTGGTTAGGCACTATCTACTTAGTAATCTGGTCAGTGTTTTTTCTACAACAGAGTTTCTCAGAAACAGAAGGAAAATCAGCATAGGAGTGATATCTCCATATAAAGCTCAAGTCTATGAAATCCAAGAGAAAGTTAAGCAGTGCAATTTGGTTTCAGATGATGACTTCTCGGTGAGTGTTCGTTCTGTTGATGGCTTTCAAGGCGGTGAAGAAGATATCATAATGATCTCCACTGTCAGGTCTAATAAGTCTGGAAGTGTGGGGTTTCTTTCTAATAGACAAAGAGCTAATGTGGCTCTTACTCGTGCTAGGTATGTTACATGTTAAAGACCCAAATACCACACACACACACACAGTCGTGAGATGAGAAATCTTTGATATGGCTTTATAAACATAATAGATCAAGTCATTCATAAATGCTTTGTTATTTAAATGAAAATCTCATCTACTCTAATCTTCCTCTTGTTATGCCTCTATTTTATCTGACATTGAAAATCCCTTGAATGAAGCAAAAAGCCAAGGGTGTAAAAGTCTAACTAATCATGAATTGGAGCTTTTTAGAGAAAATGAAAGTTAGAACCCAAACAAATTAAAAAAATGAATTGCAATTAGTGATTTAAAAATCTCAGTTTGCAACTGAGATTCTCATTTGCAACTATCAAAATTTATATTTATAAATTATCTTTCAGTAAGTTTTGTCAGAAACTTAATTGTCATTAAATTAATATTTTGGGATCTCACTTTCATTTTCCCCACTTCCTTTGTTTATCATGTTGATTCCAAGTTTGTAAGTATATAGGCTTGAGTTGATTCAAATCCTTTTTGTTTTTACGGCAGACATTGTCTCTGGATATTGGGGAATGCAGAAACTCTGAAACATAGCAGCTCTGTATGGACAAAGTTAGTGAATGATGCTAAGCAAAGACGGTGCTTCCATAATGCTGATGATGACCAGAACTTGGCTGGTGCCATTAGGAACGCCATACGTGAGCTTGAACTGGTTGATGAATCAAAGTCACCATTTAAGTCGCTCACTATTAGGGACAAGGCTGAGTCAGCTGCTACAAGGCCTAGGTAATTCTCATTGAATCAACTTTTCCCTAAACTCGCAAACATAAATTGCTCAACACATTATCCACACGAACAAAATGGATATGGAGATGATGTTATTGCTCGCTTGAAGAACTGACCAGTGTTTTTATAATTGATGATGACCAGAGGTTCTCTTGGTGGCAGCTCGAGGAAACCGAGGTGGTGAAGAAAGGAATTAAGGGAAATGATCATATTTGATGGTGCTTGGATTGCGTTGTGAGGTTGGATTGCTTCCGTTTGCTTCCAGGGTACATATAAAGCAAAGCAACATAGGTTTTATGAAATATCTTTTGAAACCTACTTGGCTAATCAGTTTTTAGCTTGTAGAAAGTATTTCTGGAACTTTTTGAAAGCTGAAAGTTGTTTGAATATTATTTTTGCACCAAATCCACATTCTGAAAACACATTGTAGAAGTTAAGAAAAGTGGATTTGTTAAATGTAACTTATAGTAGCTTTTGAAAAATACATTTGAGAGTCAGGCATTAATGGAAGAGTTATATATGTACCTAACTTTTAAATTGATTATGCTACCCCTAATTATACTTTTATCCCCAGCGTCTGTCTTTTTCTTCTGTCTTGTAATGTCAGGCTCTCTTCTCCTTGATCTCTCTCATAGCTGGAGAGAGTTTTTTATATGGCACATATGCTATGAGCAAACTAAGAATTATATACTATCGAATTTATATATGTTTTGCATAATATATCAAACTTTATATCTTTATTCTTTCTATTTAACATATCAAATTTTATATTATTTAAAATTTTTATCACATTTTTTAAACATTTTTCATATATTACATTCAAGATCACTTTTTTATTATATAATCCATCAGTTTTCAGTTACCAAACAAATTTTTAAAAAATATATTCAAATATAAATTTTATTACAATAAATGATTTTTGACCAATTAAAATACAAACCGCCACTTGATCTGTTCGGTTACCTTGCGTCAAATGATGAGACCAAAATTGGTTTTGGTCTATCTTCTTTTCCTGTGACGGTGTACTAAAAGCTCAATTATCAGGCACAAGACTGTTGCTCTAAAATTGAAGACCCGTCTCTAATCCTAGAAAACTAATTGATAAATCAGTAATCTCTGGGATGAACTTGAGAACTATACGATAGAACCTACGGGTAAAGTAAGTTAAAGCCATAATCGTTATTTTTCATCCACAAAAAAAGAAAAGAAAAGAAAAGAAACAATACAACTACATGAATTTAACCTCAATAAGACATTCGCAAACTAGAGTTCTTTCTCCATTAACATCTTCATGTTCAATCTATGCCTTCTTTTTGACATCTAACAGATTTTACACAGTACATGATAGAGCATGTAAACCATGTTCCGTTGCACACAGCCAACCATGTTTTGCGGTGGCTTTGATTTCAAGTCCTGCCATGATGAAATCTAACAGATTTTAAAAGTTACAGCGGTTATAATGCCGAGATGAACTTCTGAATTTTCGCTTGAGCTCGTTCCTTCTCTTCTGGCCCATCAAGGTCGCCAATATTGTCATGATATTCCTGAAAATGAGAAAGATTCCATTCCAATAAAGCTTGGAGACTATCATATCTTCTTTAAAAATACTCTATCAGAATTTAACACATTAGTTACCAAGTATTCCCAGTTCCTGGATATTACAATGGACAAGTAATAAACATAAATTAACAGGCTCATATTTTTTTCTAATGACAAAAAGTTTAGGTAAGTTGAGTCTTAAAACTCGTTAGGGCTAGGATATAACTCTAAGCTCAAAAAGTGCTTAAATAAATACTTACAGATTGTTTATTACCAAGATCCTCAAATCGATAACAGAAATAGGCTCATAATTTTAGTACAAGTTAAAATGAAGCACAACAATTTTCCTCAAAGGGGAACAAATTTACTGATCTCAAGGCTTAAGTTTTCTTTTTTTTTTTTTTTTTTTGGGTTGGGAGTAACTCCCTTTCCAAAATCATGAAATAAGTTGATATCACATGTATAGGTGAGGAATTTGGCAAATAGACTAACTTGGATTGAATGCTAGAGCATCACCCACGGATGGACCTACTTGGTGCATGGTGGAGGCATTTGACCCCACAAAAATTTTACTTATAATATTATGTTTATGATGCATATTTATTGCTGCTAATATTCAGTAATATTACTGTTAATGGCCCTATGAACCACAATATAAGTCATTATTAACTAATTTATGCTTTTCAAAAAAAGTTGGTTAAAATCTTGATTTCTCAAAAATTCCACATCTTTCCAATAGTTCTCTTAAGTGTAATAAATATAACATTTGAGTTATTCAAAACATCCTCATTAATTAGTTGGTAATGTAAGGGTATAATTGAAAAAAATATATCCATTACACCTACCCAATGCCCTATATTTTACACCAAGCAAAACTTTTAGAAAACGAATTATATTGTAGATTGGAGGAAGTATATGTATATCTATTGTGCCCACAGCCTATGTTTTATATACTATTTTACATATTCTAAACTGCCATAGATATACAAAGCAAGGATCTAAAACATTATTTCAAGAAGAAAAACAAATTCTTATACCTGAAGTATATCCTTTACATCATTTTTACCCAGCCTGTTCTGTTTGAGTAGGAGTTCAATTCTCGCTCTCATTTGTGGATGTCTGCACAAAAAGCATATATTTAGAACAAGTCATAAGTAACTCCAAATATCAAGGGTCTCAAAATTAAGGGACGGAATACATTTTATGCCCCAAACTGAGGCCTGTCTACAGCTGTGTCACAGGAACCTTCAAATACATTATATCCCCCCTCTCTTCTTTTAAAAGAAAAAAAAATGTCCTGAAAATATCAACTCTCAGTCTCTTACAATTCGAGTGCTTTTTCCCCCCAAACACCCTCTTAAATTTGACGCACCAAAGTAGCAACTAGGTTGTCAAATGCGTTTTTTCATAAAATTATTGTACGCATATATGGATGGAAATACTTACTCAGAGCACCAAAGATGACCAAGAATGACAGCGATTAACTGCAAGATCACATGAAAAAAGTCAACACAAAAAAGTTACAGTAAATTTGATAGCTACATATCTGCAGATTGCGTTATTACACGAGTCATTGGTATAGATACAGATTTTCCTAAAAAGCAATTCGAACTGAAAAGAAACAGATGCCTTAACATGTATTTTTGTAAACAATAATAAATTATAGATTTCTTGAACTACAACGAACAAATTAGAACTTGCCTGCTAATTTCTATATAACCATAAAGGGACATAATTCTGCTTCTTTGGGTAAGAGTAAATTTACTAAGGAACATCACTTTTCAAATTTTCCAAGATAAAGTCCTCCAACAACAATAACGGGTTACAATTTGTTCCCTCGCAAGTATTGGCCCAAACAAAATGCACTGACATTAACTGTGAAGCCAGATGATTAATCATACTGAAAATTCTAACCTGAAGGGTATAAAGTCCAGATTCTAATTTACGGTTGTATTTCTCATCTTCATCCATCTGCAAAATATAGGAAGGAATATTATATTTTGGGTAAAACTTAATTTGATAGGGCAAGCATGAACCAAGTAACTATGTACACTACCTCAAAGTCATCAAGTTGAACCTGTTCCAATCGTTCAGTTTCTGCTTTAACTCTATCAGAATATCTGAAGAGATACCAAGAGCTCTTATGTTAAGCTTCTTTACTATGAAACTTCAAACAAATCATTGAAATTAAATAAGCATAAACTGCACAAAGAGAAGAGGTGAGTTGACCTACCTCATGAACAGTTCCATTAGCCTGTCTATCTTCTCACATTCATTTTCCACAAATTTACTTAATAATCTCTCTCTCCTAGAACCTCTTAAAATTCCACCTGGAAGAATACAAAGGCCATTGAAATTCTTCCCACATAAGTTAATTAAATGATTTTAAGTAGTGGTAAAGATATAAGAACTATACACAATGTTACAAATCAAAGAAAACATAACGTTTCTAGAACTTTTATTGGCAAAAGTTACAGGGACAGTTAGTTTTTTTGGTGTGGTATCAAAGGCTTCAGCACCAAATGGCTACTATTTCAATCCTTGCCAGTCCCATTTTCTCAATCAAGGCATATTTCAATGTGGGATAACGGACACTTGTGCTCTATCAATGCCTAAAGCCAAAACAGAAAACAAATGGTCGTGAAGTGTGTGCTATAGCTTGATCCTCTCCGAATAGCTGTCTTTAGCAATAGTTGCCTCCTTCACAACTAACTTTTTTTTTTTTAATAAAAGACAAATAACTATATTGCAGTGACAATTTAAAAAAAAAATAGATACAGAATTTCCATGTCATAGAATGGCAAACTTTGAGGCATCCAGCAAAATTGAAAGAAAATAACTGCTTAAAGATCATAAATTAAAAATCAAGCGTAAAAAATGTACCATGCTTATATAAGTGTGAATAAAATTTTTGAGGGGAACAAAATCCTGTTTGATCATGGCCAAAGGTATACACTACAGTACCCAGTCAGATGTAGGAATCTCTGTATATGCAGTGCAACAACAAGCAATTTCATCTTGGTGGACTATAGAATAAAAAAATAATATGAAGACAAGTTCACAAATCACAATGCCATCCCCACTCACGAAGTTCCAACTAATGCATCCTAGTCAAAACTTAAATTCAACTTCACTTGCCTGCTTACCAAATAATGAGGCAATCAATGACACAATACGCTCCTCCAATTCCTCTTGGTAGCGTTCTTTCTTATTCTTCTTGCTGATGGGAATCTATGTAGTACAACACACAACTGGTCAGTGTGGATCAAACTGTAAAATCCCTACGATATCTCACATTCAAACTTCACAGTGAAAATATTTGGAGAGAGGACAACAAATGAAGCTTGAAAAAACTTAATAATTGACCTTTATTTTTGGTAGATATAGATTGAGAATTTGGCTTTGCACTATTATGAACTTAAAAATGATTGTCCAAACATCATGAGTGCCAATATTCAATGGAAGTCCCATATGCGTAGCGGACAAGAAAAAAGGTATTTTTACGCAAAGATCTTGACTCCAGATAGAATACAAATGCGATTCTTTTATTTTCGTCACTCAAATAGAGTTTTATTTTATTGTTACATGAAGATGAAGGCAGACATGGCAAACTTAACACCATCAATTTATTAAAACAGCAGCTTGCTGTTGTCAGTGATTCCGTCATAAAAGCTTATTTCAAATCATAATGAACTTAAAAAGACATTTGTAGCATGTGAATACTTTGTACTAGATATTTTTTGAGTTAATGATAATACATAATCAGAAAATTTATAGCATATAACTACCAAAAATAATCTAAGCACACCAAAGTAAGGTTGCATCACTTGCCTTACCCATAAAAGCTGCAAAGGCTGTCTTCAGGCCTAAAACATCCACAAACCGTTCACAGGCAGGAGGATACTTGGTCATCGCAAAATCAAGTGCTCTTATAGCTGAACCATAAGCCAATTTCTTTTGTTTCATAATAATTATCATCAATTCGACTCCTTCAGCCTTCACAAATCTTTCCTTGTTCTCTAAGGGCATCAATAAACAGCACAGACAGTCAAAAAGATTCTCCACCATCTCTGCCTCATCCGAACTCTTGGGGTCCTTAGACTTGTACATAGCTACAGCCTGAAGCACCACATCTACTCCATTCATCTGCCCTAACTTTTTCTGATTCACGGTGCTGTTCTGCAACAAAATGGCCAATATCTCCGATGCATACTGCTTATTACTATCGAATTCCCTCACTTTAATCTTCCCCAACAACCATTTCAATAACTTGGTTTTCTCACAAACCAATTCTGCCACTGCAGGCTTCACCTCAATCAAATTCTCTATCGTTGCTAGCGTATTATAAACTGCATCCATCTCATCTGGGTCAGAATCCGACAACCGATGCAAATTTTGAACCAGCAACTCAAGCACACTATTTTCAACCAAGGTGTCGACTAAAACCCTCGCGGGTTCGTCGTTATCTTCGAGCACATCTTCATCGGTCAAGTCCTGAAGCAATTGGACAACGTCTATAGCAATGTCAGTGTTGTCGTGGTTCAACAAATCTACAATGGATGGCATGACGTTAAGATTGACAAGGTCAGGGTACAGCTCTGGAGCTCCTGCGAGGACCTTGAGCTTCTGAAGCTCTTCATGGAGCTCAATCTCTGAATCGGCAAATCGATCGGGTTGGTTCGGGTATTTGAGGCGAGCTTCGATGTTGTCCTTCAGGCGGCGTTCGAAGGAGAGGACGTGTTTCTTGAGGACTTTGATGTCAACCACTTCGACGGAGTTCTGGGATTTCTCAACGGCTTCGAGCAGCGAGAGGTCGATGCCGTTGGTGTTGTTGTTATCGTTGAAGCCATTGGAAGAGGCTGTTGCAGGCGGCGGCGAGGATGGTGAAATGATGTCATCAAACTTGCGTTTGGAGGCGTGGTTTCGCGCATTTGCGACTTCCATCGTCGCCGGACTAAGCTGGGATGAACCCTACCGGCCACTCAGCTCCTCTCTCTTGTTTGGAGAAGAAACTTCGCGATTTCTGGTTAGACGATTAGACAACATAAAAAGAAAACCCCGTTCCGCCATACCCCAAAAAACGTTATATATAAAATACGAAATTTACCATAATTCCCATTTATTTATCAATAAACAATAAAATTAATATTTTAACTCGACTACTCTCCAATTAGAGGGGAGGGAAAGAATTTTATGCCCTTACTCTTATTTGGTTTAGAAAATTGAAGATAAGAGTAGAGAAAATCTTTTAAAACCTTCAAATTGGGGAGATTGATGAGAGGGGTAAAATTTTACATACTCTAATCAATATATTAGTTGTGATAAGTTTAAAAAATATTGATATATTTTTTAACATCTCAACACTAATAAAATGAAAATAAAATTATTCTTATATAATTATTTTTTTTCCTTTCTTTCCTAAATCAAATAAAGTAATATCAAATCCCTCGTCTCTCATCCCCTCCCCTCAAACCAAGCATACTTATAATTTAATTGTTTCTTTATTAAATATATATATATATTTTTAACAATATATTTTCTCTTTCCAATATTCAATAAAAGTCACATGAAAATTTATAATAAAAATTTAATGAGATAACTTATAAATAAGATAAAAGAATCTTATCTTTCTACCCTACAATTAGGACTTTAATTGTTATAAGTGCAAATGAAAGTAAATATAAGTTATATCATCAATCAATAGCATCTTCAAGTAGTGAAATTTTTATCTACAAATATTAGTTATCAAAGGTTCACCCCTCATCATCATTATCATATGATTTTATTCCTATTTCTATCTTTTATTTATGGGGCTTTAGCATATTTAGCCAATATTATGTGGCTAAATAAAACTAATAACCCACCTTTTCCTAAATTAAGAGAATGGTCGTTTGCTAATTTCCTTATGTACCAAAAGATGAAATAACCCTTAAACACCACAATACCTTAATTGCCTTTCTCAAACCAAAGACTTAGAGACTTGGCGATGAACGCAAAGGCAAGGCAAACCGAAGCTCTGCATTCATCCGGGAAAACATACAAACGTGAGGCGAGGCAAGGCAGACTTGCTGCTATAAATTCAGGGTGAAAAATCACAAATGCTGCCAGGGTGGGGAACACTTGCTGCTACAGATTCAGGGTGGGGAAGTTCGGCCACACTGTGTTACTCTAGCCAGAGTTCAAGTGAGGATTTTATAGATATTTTGTCAATGGCACCAAAGAGGAAAAATCGTCTTACTTCACCAGGTATTTTTGCAGAATCATTGATATAAGGCTATATATCAGTTGCTTAGACATTTTGATTTGTTTGTTATTAAGAGCTAAAAACACCCTACCCTATATCAAAGCTTTTGGCTGTAACATATGCAATACCTTATATATCAAATTATTACTTATTTGAAGACTTAGTACATGTAATATTTCACAGGAAGATTGCAAAGCAGCATGTGCGTAGAATAGTCAAGAAAGAATTTTTCATCTATTTCTTTAAGATACATCATATTTCTATTTTCATCTTCAAAGAAGCAATGAGTTTTTATTAAACTAATGAAATAGTTCATCTCAGATGTTTGAATATAGAATAATGATACCTAATCTTTTATGGACTTTATAAAATCATTTGCTACTTGATGCTTGGAAGATTTCTCCTGGCCAATGACATGGCTTCCTCAACATTTTTCATACACAATTTCCATCACATCAAGATATGAAGTTGTATCGTCCACAAGTATTTTCAAGTATAAACCATCCACATACTGGTTGTTCAAATCCCATTTTTCATTATAAAAAATGATGAGATTAAGCATCTATATATCTGCAAGATGACATGATGTTGGTAAATTATCATTGATATGCTTTATTAATGAGATACTATAGTATATCAATGATATACTAACGTTAATGAGAAATACGAAAACACCATACTCCTTTGCCTAAATCAAATTAAACTAGGTTTGAAAAAAATTACAAACGCCTTAGCTAATCATAGAAAATCAAATAACTGAAATAAAAAAATAAAAATCATGAACAATGAGAAAATAATATGTTTTCTATTTGAAATTCAAGCAAATTACATGATCAATGACAACAAAATAATAGATTGGGAACAGATGATTTACTAATTCAGTGAAGATATTACTAGGTATATGAAGATGATGAAAATTCGATTATAAATAAGACTTTTCAACCTCTAGATAAGAGAATACAAGACAACTTTTATTCGATAATGCAGTTTCCTCTTTAATATGATGATAATGTTTGGGAAAAATAGAGAAGATAAACAGAGAGAGGAAAGCACTATATAATAAGAAATATTCTGCAATTTGTGATGAAGATGGTGAAGAAAATAGCCGTACAGATGGAGAAATAAAATCAAGGGAAATCAAATAAAAATAAAATCAGTTATATTCTATTTTAATAAAAATAGCTGTATAAATTTGAGGATAAAGAAGTAAAGACAGTTCTAATTTATTTTTGAATGGGCCATATTCTAATATATTCAAAAACTTCTTTCATAATTTATGGGAGTTGTATTTTTTTAGGCCATTGAGCCAAATTTCTCTTTGTTTATCTACTTTACAAAACATATGTTTGATATTGGTTTTATCAAGACTTAATGATGATTACATTTTCTATTCAGTATAAAAAAAATTTCTGATAGGAATTTAAGACCAACATTACACAAGAAAAAAGCTACAACAAGAAACAAAATCTCCATAAAAAGTCAAAATACAAATCATAAGCTCTTCATCTAATATGGTAAGGTTATAGTTTTGAAAATTGAAATTTCATTACTTAGCAAATAATATTTGGATTCCGTAAGCAAATTAAGTATACACACTCAATAAATGCCTAGTGGCACCATAACAATATTTTATTTTGAATTTTTGAAAAAAAATGTCTTGATAATTTTCAATTATCAATAAAATCTAACAAATATAAGTAAAATGCTCATTGATGAGTGTACTTAAGACAATCACCGAATCTACATCTTGCAAAATATAATAATTGGAATATATTATATTTAACATTGTACCATTAAAAATATTACAATCTAACCATTTTTGTTATTACAGAAATCATAAAGGCATTAAAATTAAATGTAAAATCCATCTTGCATAAAAAACAAGTTGCAAGGACAAAAAGAATATGCATTAGCAATGAAATTAGAACAATTAGCCCTTCATTTTCTTCTAGCAAGGATTATTTATAATGTATACATCTATAGTAGTGTAATTTAATATAAAATTTCAAATAATTAAATCCTATAAACATTAAGCAAAACTAATGACTTAAATTTTAGATGAATCAAATGAGGATGAAAGATCTGGGGATGAAATGGAGAATGATGCACAAAAAGGTGTATATTGTATCTTCAACTTATCTAAGATTGTTATTACACTTAAACAATCCACACTACTTCATTGATCCAGTTATATTGGCTCCAACCATTGAGATTGTTGAGAGGATAAATAATTATGTATGCTTCATTCTACTTGGAGAAGTTGTTGAATACTTAAAGTTCGGATTCATTTGTAAAACAAGTCAAGGTTCAGATACTTTCCATGATGCATACAACATTGAATTTCTAAATACCATTAACATGTTAGGTTTACCACCACATAATTTGACACTAAAGGTAGTGGTCTCTGTAATGCTGATCAGAAACATTGGCCAAGCTTTGGTACTTTGCAATGTCACTAGGTTCAGGATAATGTTATATGGCAAAAATTTCATCAAGGCTAAGACATTAAATTAAATGGTTTCAATCATGTTCTAATTCTTCAAATAGTATAAATTTATCATAATAAAAAAATTCCATTTATTATGATAGTAGTGGGTAGGATTTTCTTAATGTCTTTACCATAGCATGTCCAAACCAATCTCTGAGGACCTTATAATTCTTGTAATGTTGTCATTTTATATTGAACAAACATATTATCTTGATAAGTGACTTAAATTTCCTTGATGCTATATTTAGATACATATGGATTTGGATTTGACCATAATAGATTTGGCTAAAATTTAAATTTAAATTCTACCTCAATTTCTTTGTAATTAAGAATTCTTTCTAAACCCCTATTATTTCAAATTTTAACTCAATCTCTTTTGTAATTTGATCAAAATCCATAAAAGCTTGATCGACTCACCAATAGTAATTGGACCGAACTGCCAAAGTTGATAGAAACAAGCTGCCATCATTGATCAAGACTAGATAGTCAACTTTCACCGGGACTAAACTGATGGCGATGACGAAGATCAGGCAACCAACTTTCTCTGAGATCAAATCAACGGCGATGATGGAGACAGGCTAGTTGAATTCCTCTAGGACAAGATCGATGACGACGATTAGGACTGATAAGCCGACTTATACCAGGACCGATGGGGATTGGACGGCCAACTTCTACTAAGACAGAATTGATGGTGATAATGGGGATCGAATGGCTGACTTCCACCAAGACTAGACCAATGGCAATGACGGGGACTTGACCGATGGGCAACGACAAGGATTAAACAACCATCTTCTATAGGGACCAAACCGACAACGACCACTAGGACCGGATGATCGACTTCTACTGAGACCGGACTGACAACAATAATGAGGACCAAATAGCTGACTTCCATTAAGACTTAACCCAATGGAAGTCAGTCATTGGATCCTCGTTATCTCTATCTATCTGGTCCTGGTGGAAGTCGAACGTTGGGTCCTCGTAATCACCATCGATCTAGTCCCAGTGAAAGTCGTTCATCTAGTCCTTGTCATCACTATCAATCTAGCCCCACTAAAGGGTGAAGGTTCGATCCCTATAGTCGCCGTTGATCTGGAAGGAAACTATGCAGTCCCCATTGTTGTCGTTAGTTCAGTCTCGATAGAAGTCAACCATACTATCTCCGTCATCATAGTTAGCCCGATCCTAATTGTTGTCGTTAGTCTAGTCCCCATGGAAGTCAAGCATGTTGTAGTGCTCGTTGCCATCAATCTGGTCTTAATGGAAGTTGATCATCACTAGTGCTACAATCCGATCGACTTTGACTATCTGATCTTAGTGGAAG